ATGGCGCCCGGGGCTCACCCACCTGCATGGGCGGCATTCCCTCGGCCATTTCCCCGCGCAGCGCCGGCTCCTGGTGGCAGACCTCCTCCGGGGGCAGAGCCTGGGCCCAGCTCCAGCTCCCGCTGTCCAGCCCCAGGCCCTGGATGCCCAGCTGCTGAGGCTGCGGCCGTGTTGACACAAACTGCATCCTGGGAGTGCTGTTCCCCGCTCGGGCCGGCCAGGGAGAAGAAGAACGTTTTCCAGGCGCCTTCCCCCTCGCCGGGGCCGGACAGCTCCATCTACAGCCCGTAGGAGCAAACAGTCCCCTTCGGCGGCGCTCCCCGCCCTCCGCAGCCGGCGCGCCAGCCAATGGCTTCGGAGCTCCTGCCCGCCCGCGGGGGCTGGCCGCGGCTACTCTGGGCTGGAGCCACCGCCGCCCGCAGAGCGATGTGGCGGCTCCGCCCGAGGTCAGGGGTCCGCGCGACGGCCTGCCTTCAAGTCCCAAGCAAGGCAGGGCCCTGGACTGCGGGCCTGTTTTCTGCTAATTCTACAAATATATTGGGCATCCCAGGAGAAAATGGTGCCTTCTGAAATTTTTACTGACACGTTTACTGAACACCTACTATGCTCCAGGTACTCTTAGGCAGAGGGTGCAGCTTCACTGTTGTAGACACCTGAGTTTAAATTCCAAATCGCCACTTGCTAGCTGTGACTTTGAGCAATTTAACTTCTCCGAGCCTCACGTTTTCCTCCCATATATATTTTTTCTTTTAAAAAAATTTATATTTTCTCTTTCCCCCCCCTCCCATATAAATGAAGAAAATAATACCTACCTTGGTCTGTTTTAATGCTGTGAAATTAAATGAGATGAGACTTCTGCCTGGCATATAGTGGGCACTCAGGGAAGACAGTTACCCCTCACCCAAGGAGAAGTCCTTGTAATTATCAGCAATATAGTGTCTACCTGGTCTCCATAAAGGACGAGTGCTTATCTTAAGAACAGAGATCTCCAAGTCTTATCACCCCCTGAGAGACAGACCTACTGGTGCCTGAGTTCCATTGCACTTAGTAAAATAAAGAACATTAAGGGCCCAAGGGAGACACGTGTTTACAGTTCTATATTCAGAAGGGCCATTATCAAGTACATACTTTCTCTGTTAGGCACACTTCCAGGATAGAGAAAGGAGTATTTCATGGAGTTAGTATTATCCTCAGGGAGATTAGGACTTACAAAGGTTATGCTCCCAGAACTCAGCGATTTCCCTTCTTTCCTGGCCTCCAGCTGCCTCCCTCTGTTGTAAATATAATGTCAATATTATTAGGGGAACCAGGCTAATTCATTTCTGCCAGCAAGCCACACCTCAGAGCACACATTCTGACCCACAGAGCATCAACTATCTCCCCTCTTTCCTAGAGATAGAGAATGGAGGACTAGGTCAGTCCCAAGCATGCAAGTATCTTTTTAGGGTAAAATTGTTAAGATTACTTCCCTTCCTTTTAAATTAGTTATAGCTACAACTCTTTTTATACAAAAGATGGTGCATTTATACACTTTCTCCTTTGCAGAGTTTGGATTTTCACCTGGCCATCCACATCTTCACCACTTGTGACCAGAGTGGCTGCTCAGAGCTAGAGATACAGTTCACTGTTGTATATGAACAAAGCTACACAACTTCAACAGAATTAAGTGCACAGGCTTCAGTTGGTGGCATTATTTTATAACCATTGAGCCTAGAAACAACAGACCATAAAAACCCATAATGAATACAAGCAGAAGGGTAGACATTTGGGGTGTTTAAGGAGTACTTCCCTAAAGGAAAAAACAAAGGGCACAAGGAAGGAGCTGCTAAAGCCACACAGGTCATGGACCCTACTATTGGTACTGACAAAGGGCTAATGAGGCTGAGACATCCGATGGTGGAAACCCATCCTGCCCTTGGAGATGTCCTTGAGTTATCCTTGAGGAAAATGTCAAGTATCATGGTTACAACAGATTTCTTGGAAGGCCCCAGGCCTGGCCCCTTGACCTGTCAGGTCGGCCTTGATGCCTTCCTTCTCTCCATCTGGAAATTCTATAGCTACTGCAATGGATAGGGCATTTGAAGTAGTAGATGCTCAACTAATGGATGCCAGAGAGGCCAAAAGAGAGGGGATTCGTAAAACTGGAACATTTATTTATCTACCAGTTTCTAAAGATTTCTGGTGCTGTGTTCTTTCAACAACTCCCGAGATTTATTTGAGGGAAACCTCTGGACTCACTCTTGGCTAAGGGAAGAAGATAACCAGATCTGTGCTTTTGACTTAGTTTCACCCACCTCTCATTTAACAAGCAGGTCAAGAACTACCAAGGTGGCACATGGGAAAGGGAGATGAGGACAGCCTCAGAGCCTCGGGCTCCCTTCCCACTGGCTTGTCTGTTCACAGTTCCCATCTTCACTTTCACTTCACACTGTGCCTATGGGCTTGAGTGCAGTTCAGTGGTAGAGCACTTGCCTGGACATGTAAGGCACCCTAAGTAGTGCATAAAAATAAATATAATAAAGGTATGTGTCCAACTGCAACTAAAAAACAAGATCTAAAAAAATAAAAGACAGGGCTGGGGTTGTGGCTCAGAGGCAGGGCACTCACCTAGCATGCGTGAGGCACTGGGTTCCATCCTCAGTATCATATGAAAATAACATAAAAATATTACGTTCACCTATAACTAGAAAATAAATATTAAAAAATAAAAATGAATAAATAAAGATACTGTGCCTAGTTAGACCCACCTCTGTGGGAGGTCAGTGCTTTAGGCTACAATGTCATTGACCTCCTCACCTCTAGAGGCAGAGCATTCTGAGGGGACGGGTGCTCAGAGTAAAGTGACAGAGCTCCAAGACCACTGTACTGAAAGGAGGGTTGATGTGGGGCCACAGCCAAATGTTTTGAGTAACTTTACAAAAGTTTTAAGGGCAATTTGCTCTTGCCAGAGTTTTCAGCATCCTTTTTACAGACCCACCTTTTGCCAACATTTTAACTCAAACACCCATCTCTCTTCCAAAAATGTTTGCTTTAAGCCTATGCAAAGTTTGGGAATATTCTTTTTCCCTTCTTGAGTTTATTCTTAGGCTGCTTCACTTAAGCATTTCATCTCCTTTCCAAGTTTGACCCTATAGACAAGTGACCTTCATTGGTAGTGGGCATTGAACTGAGGGGCACCAGCTTATCACCAAGCTACATCTCCAGCCCTTTTAATTTTGAGACAAGTTCCCACTCAGTTGCTGAGGTGGGCCTTGAGTTTTTGATTGTCCTGGCCCAGCCTCCAGAGTCACTGGGATTACATGCTTCTATTTGGTTCTTAATGACTTTGTGATACTACAGAAGTAATGTTCAATCATTGAAACTGTTCTAACTCAGTGAGCACCCAAGGCTTAGGAATCCTTTATGCAGAAGATATGCTATATGTAATCACAGTGTGTCCTTTCAAAGGCAGCCCTACAACTTTTAAGTGCTTGTTTAATTACAAAAATGGTCAAGATTCATCCAAAATAGAGTCTAGTGCTCATGACAAAATGTACCAGTGTTTCCAAATGCAAAAGTAAGGTATGATTGTTAATTCAAGTTGGTAATAATGTCACCAAAGTCCCTTGTTTTTCTGCAAACTCCTCTTACAAGAAGGTGCAGGCCTCAGGAGGTTAGGAAAATGCAGCATGGGTGCTGGCATCCCTCTCATCTGTGCACATCCTGCCCAGTCCTGCCAGCGTGTGGTCTTTGGACATGGCACACAGAAGGTGCAGCAGAAATGAATACTGCTTTCCCCACTGCCTCTAGCTTGCCTAACTACGGAGAGAGGTCAGAACTTTTAAAAATACTATTTCCATATCCTATTTCCATAAGTCCTGCCTCCACTGTCGAGTTACAGCTTCCCACTGTGGATTCCAAGACCTTTATTCATCTCTGATCCATAGCTCACTGCTCTAGTAAGGCTCACTGACCAATGCCTGGCTTTCTCTTCCTAGGATCTTTTCCATCTCACAGGCACATTAGAATCACTTAGGGGAACTCAGAAACACACAGGCTCCATCACAGACAATGAAGCCATGCCAGGGTAGGCCCTGACACAAATGTCTTCTTCTGAACCCTGAGTCATTCTCAGGTACAGTCAGGAACTAACTAGTGCAACAGCACTAGTCCTTGTCTTGGCCCAAAAGATCATCTGGGGAAATGAAAATCCCAAATTATTACTTAATGTCTAATAACATAAATATGATTGGTTTAATTATTCTTATTCATAGTTATTATCTTGTTGTTTACTCACTCAGGTTGATTAGCAGTTATTGTCTTTATAACACCATTTAAAAAAATTATAAACTCTTTGTAATGTTTTGAACAACCAATTAAAAAATAAATAAAAAAAATTATAAACTCAAGGCCAAGAACCGATTTACCTACGTAGTATCATTTGCATCCATAATTTCAAATTGTTTAACCTTTTTTTTTTATAATTAGGATTGTACTCTTTATTCTGTAATAAATGCAAGTGTTTATTCTGCTGTGTTAAAAAAATCACTAATAGAATCTGGAGTAAAAACAGAAAAGAGAACCTAGAAGTAAAAATCTTAAGTTCTGTAATTTTAGATTCAGAAGGGACCATATTTTACCATCTTCTTCAATCTTCACATTAGAATTGGGAAAACAAAGATCTTCATAAATTAGTTTGCCCCACATCAAGTACAGAATGTTATGCTGGGACAAAAATCCAGTTTTTAACCACTCTTGTGGTCTTCCCACAATAAAATTACTGAGTATCCCGATGTCCAACACCATGAGGAAAACAAAATGAGACATAGTCTGTGTTTGGGGTAGTTTTGTTTTGCTTTATAGTACTGGAGATGGAACCAGGCCTCACACATGCTAAGCAAGTGTTCTAGCACTGAGCTATCCCTTAGCCCTTGGGTAGTTTAATTTTTAGGCCAGTCTCAAGATTTTAAAGCAAATAATGGCTTTACTAATAAAGACAAAGCCACATAGTTCAGCAAGGTTTTATCGGACATTTTATTTGAAATGAAACCTGGCTATCTTGGGGAGATTTGCTGCACGATGCTTTTATGGCTTCTCTGGTTTGGCTGCATCATTCTGCTTTGAAGGGTAGTTAGTCTTAGAGGTGATATTTTTGGAAGAGGCAATTTATTTGACCAACCTGACAAGAGTCATTTGTGTGATTGTGGCCAGTTATTCATTTAAAAAGAAACTGGAGAAGGGCCAGAAAGGGATGAGTAACACCCTCCCTTGACTCCTAATGACATTTATTTTACAAGACAAGCAGCACCTTCCAGTTCCTTTATGCAAGTGACAATATGCTCTGGCCTAAGGATAGATTCTCTAGTACTAGAAATGCCATACAGTCACTGCCCATTCCCAAGTGAATCCACCAGCCCACAGATCTTGGTGCAGGAGCTGTAGGATTTCCACTACTGATTCCAGCCAACTGAACCAGGATAAGCTCGTAACCACAAGGGTTGGCTGGAAACTTCTGGGTCCTCACATAAGAAGAGGAGCTGGACAGACTCCTTATTAAAGAATCTAGGAAATATCAAAGAGAATCAGCCTCATGAGGTCATGGCACACAGAAACTTATTGGAGCTGGGAGATACAGGAAAAAATAGGCCTAAATTGAAGCAAAAGATGATCTTAGGCAAAAGGCTGAGCTCCCAGCCACCCTGTGCCCTGCAGGGCAGCTCAGTTTTTGACACTTGCACCTCCAATTCAACCTGGCTCTGTGACCTCCTTGTGTCACAGGCTCTGTGCTAAATACTTCACATGGGTTTCCATGCATACCCTAACACCTCTGAGAATAGGTCTCAAATCCCTACTTTACTGATAGTGAAACTAAGGTTCAAGATGGTTAAATAACAGACCTATTACTTAGCAAGACCTGAATCTAGATCTGACCAGAGTTCTTGCCCTTGGCACTGCTCTAACCCACACTGTGCATCCTTACATCAAGGCCCTATGCTCTCCTGGTCCCATCCCATCATCACACCAACCTGACCTAACTCAAGTTATCTTTTGCCTGTAGGACCCTGAAACTTACCAAAACACACAACAGCCTCTCACAGACATGTGAGAAATAAATTCTCCTTTGCTACAGATAGGGAACCAGAATTAATGCAACAGGGCCAGAAGTGTCCCTCAAAACCACAGGAAAAAAACCTATCTGCTAACATCAGAGGTCTTGTCTATAACAACCTTTTGAGAAGACTAGCTACTTACAACCCTCAGACAGCTGCTGAAGGGGCATTTTGATGTTGCAGAAGCCAAGACCTGGGGGGTGGGGGGGTCCTACCCTTGCCTCAGAGGAAATATGAGCAGAAATTTAGGACTTCCATCCTATTTGAAAGAAAAAAAGGGACTCAGACCCTTTATCAAGATTTTTTGGGGACTGTGCATGTTAATGCCTAGCAAACCACAGGGTTTGGCTGAGAGAAGCCCAGCAGGGATCCCCACCAGTGGTGGAATTGTGGTGGTGGAATTGTGTAGAACATGGATCTAGCCAGAGTCCACCTAAGGTGTCTTCAGTACCAGGTGTCCAGCAGAAGAGGCTCAGAGTCACCTTTCACTTTTTAGACAATCAACCAACTTCCATTTATTCTCACATTTGAGGCTGCACTAGGGGCACATCCAATGGTAACCATGGAAATGTAGTAAGCAGAGTGATTGGTTAGTCAACATCTGGATCCACTCCAGAGGAGAGGGTGCTTGTGTGCCAGTCAGAAGGACAGGCGAGGAGCACAGTTCTAGGGTTTCCTCTTCCCTATTGTGTCCCCAGGCCTCAGGTGCTTCTCTCAGCATGGTTTCTCTCAGGAGCACTTGATGGAACATGAATTTCTTCTCCACATGCTGAAAACTTCATTGAACTCTCTCATCTTTCCCACTGATCCATTTCTGAATCATTAGCAGAAAAACCCTTTAGAGGGGGCCTGGAGTTCTACCTGATGGGGCCTGATGAAGGGAAAGAACAGAACCCACAATAGCTGAACTCCCTGCCTTGTGTCAAGGCTGAGGATTAGGTTTCCACATGCTTGTCTTTCTGGGATGGCCTGCACATTCCCTTTCATAAAGCTTTATGACTCTTGCTCCAGTGGCATTTGGATTATGTTCACTTTTTTGCCAAAATTAGGTCCCTGTTGGCTACAGTTCTTAGCAGAAAGGGCTGTGGTATCTATCTGCCGCATTTTAATGCACAGGTCTCTTTTGTTATTAGTTGTATTCTCAGTGAATCTTTTCAGTCAAATGAATTTTAGATGTTATCTGGTCCCACATCACATCTAATGTAGGAATCCCTCCTCCAGCATACTCTGGTAGATGCTTGAATCCATTCCAAAGAGAGCTCACCTCCTAAAGATGGTGCCTTGACTCTTTTCCCTTTTAACTGGGGGAATCAAGGTGCAAACCAGAACTGAATCTCACACTCAAGTTCTTAGTGCATCAACGAAGGTAGAACCCTGATTTGGGGATTCCCAGAACTCCTCCAAATTTTCCTGGTGTGGGCCAGAGATTGTGGTTGGAAAGCTCTTGATCCCAACATACCAGGGTTCTGCCCATCATTTGTCTTGTTCTATTTCCTTGGATTTTTTTCATTGTCTATAGACTGAAAGTTAAGACAGCAGCCCAGGTCTCACACACATTTCTTATGTCTCCCATAGTCCCTGGTATTGTGAATGTCACAAAACAGTGTTTTATAAATGTGACTATCCTGAAGAGCAGCCTTTTCAGACAGAGACTTCCCAGGAGCACAGCCAGCTGGACTAACATCCTCTCTTAGCAGGGCTACACAGAACGAGGCAGAGTAAAAGTGGATTCAGTGATAAGGAGAAAACATGTCCCTTCCTTATCACTTATCAAGAAAGTGTCCTGTCAAAATATTCCCAGACCTTGTTCCAGGCATCAGAGAAGAATCCGAGGAAACAAGAGGGTATGGGAATAAACAACTTTTCTGCCCAAGACATAGGGCTTTTGCATTCTCTCTTCTACCTCAGGCTCTAAGCATGAGCAAAACAATAAATCAAATCAATTTCAGTCAAGTTTCTGCAAGAACCTTTGCTTTGATTTTGCTGTCATATTTAGCTTCACCTGGACAGAGGCCAAAGACAGAAACAGGATTTTGGCAGGAGAAGAAATGTATCACAGGATTTTTTTTTTTTTTTTTTTCTAGAGGCTAACTTTCCCACTTTTACCAGTCTCAATTTGCAGTTGAAATTTGAGAGCTATAAAGAAAAAAGGGCTTTTAACTAGTTGCAAAGACACTGAGGAGCAGAACTAGGTTCAGATCTGCCCAGGTAACAGTGACCCCAAGGAAAAAACCATGGTAGCTGAGTTACCTAAAAGCGTAACAGGCAAGACAGGTCATCCTTGTCTGCATGTGGTGTTCAGCTCTAAGTGACCTAGGAGAGGTGCCAATGGAGTAGGGCAGGTGGGGGGGACCAGACAGCCTCCCTGCTGAATGGGAGAATGAGAATGCCACATAACAACACTGTGACTGGCTAGAGGAAACAAAAGCCCAGAGCTCAGCAGCACTTTCTGAAACTCCTTAATGTTTCAGGAAAGTGCTGTGATCTTTGCTGCTGATCATCATCAAGACAAACAGATACCAGGAATGGAAAAGCCAGCTTACTGGCTTGGAAAAGATAAGGGAGAATGTGACATAAAACACTCTAAAATTGTGTTTCAGGCTCAGGTTTTAAGCAGTTCAAGCAGTTCTATGATTGTTACACCAGCTACTTCTTGGGATCTCTAGCTTTTAAAGCTGGGCTGAAAACTCTGCTTCCAATTTTCTAACCAGGACCTTGGCAAAGATTTCTGACAGTTTAAATACCAATACAACAGCTTGAATGCTTCGAACCAAGCCAGCAAAAGTTAAGAACTGTTCTCCTAAATAGGCTATTTAAGTCGGGTTTTTGTTCACAGGTATTGACAGAATGTATTAAAAGACAAGGTGGGAAAGCTAGGGAGGCAGTCTCAGTCCTCCTGTTTCAGGGACAGGAGGCTGCGCAGCTTTGTGAACAGAGCCCGGCTGGTGTCCAGGAGGCAGCAATATAAACAGTAGATAAAGCCCATTCTTCCAAAGTTACCTCACCTAGAGGAATTAATGAAAGGCCTGGCACATTCTCATGCCTGATGACCTGCTTCATGCTTGGGGGCTCTTTCCATGCACTTATCTCTACCTAGACGCAGTCCGTTCTCATTTTGCTTTCCTGGAACAGGATAACCTGAGGTTGACTCTTGCTTCCCAACCTCTCTGTAATATTTTTGACTTCTGTTTTTGTGGTACCTTTGAAAAGAAGGGGCTGTGGGGCTCCTTTCCAGGTCTTTCTGTATTTTAAAATGTGGTATTGTACTTTTGTTAAGTTCCAAAACATAAGCATGTCTCCAGTGGAGTATAGAGGACACCAAATCTCTTATGCGTCAGATAATAATTACTGCGAGTGGTGGAGGGCTTGGGAGCTTCATATAGACTTTCTGTCCTGTCGTGAGCGTAGCTAAACCAGACTTACAACCCACCCGCTCCACTCCCTTCCCCATACCACTGATTGGTCTCTAGACCTTCCGTGCTAACACCCAGGCCAGAGGTTTCGAGGCCAGCTAGGAGTGGACCCGGTGGGTCGGGGGGCCGTGTGGCTGGGTCGCTTTCGCCCACACAGCCTCCATTGTGGCCCGAACGCAGGTGGTCCTTGAGCGTCTGCTTGTAGCGGAAGCTCCTGCCACAGAGGGCACAGGGGTAGGGCCTCTCGCCGGTGTGGATGCGCTGGTGCTTCATGAGGTGATGCTTGCGGATGAAGCTCTTGCCGCAGTGCGCACACTGGAAGGGCCGCTCACCCGTGTGCAGCCGCCGGTGGTTGAGCAGATGCTCCTTGCGCATGAAGCTCTTGCTGCAGTCAGTGCAAGGGTATGGCCGCTCGCCTGTGTGGATCATCTGGTGGCGGATCAGGGCCGAGTGGCCATTGAAGTCGATGCCACACTGAGGGCAGGAGAATGGGCGCTCCTGTGCGTGCCCACGCTGATGCAGCAGGAGGCTGATCTTCAGGCTGAAGCTCCTGCCACACTGCGTGCAGCGGAAGGGCCTCTCACTGGCGTGAGCCCGCCTATGACTTGTGAGTCGCGCCTGGTCAGCAAAGCGCTTGGGGCAATCCGGACAGGGGAAAGGGCGCTCAGTGCTGTTATGGACCCGAAGGTGGTAGGTGAGTCTTGAGGGGTGAGTGAAAGTCCGGGCGCAATGTGGGCAGGTTGGGGGCGGCTCACTGGCATGGTCCTGGGAGGTGCTGCCAAGGTCCGTCTGCGGGGCAAAGTGCTTGGGGCACTGGGCACAGGGTAAGGGATGCTCACTAGTGTGGCCACATTGGTGAGTCAGCAACATGTCCTGGTTTAGACTCTTGCCACAGTGGTGGCACGAGAAGAGCTGCTCCCCAACTGGAGGTGGGAGAGGGTAGCTACCCAATTGAGTAAAAGTCACTTGTCCCTCTGAGGCTTCAGGCAAGTCAGTGGCTGCACGTCCAAATGGTGTCATGGGAGTGGACTGCTGGTGTTTGAAAGCCACATCTGAAAAAGCATCCTTTGCTGCTGGTGGGGCTGGAGCAGAGAACGCAACAGGAACTTCAGGGCACAAGGAGGCTCTAGCAAGGCCCTCGGCTTTGATGACAAGCTCTTCATCTGAAAGAAAGGACTCAAGAGTTACGCCCCTCAGGAGCTGTCTCACCCGCAACCCTCACAAGTTCCTACCCAGCTCCAACAGGTTTGCTCTCAGCTCTAAACTGCTAAGATAAACAACACAGCAGAGGGCTGCTGTGATATTAATCAAGGTGTAGCAGTCCCTATGGCAAATCAGAATTAAGGCTGTACTCTTTGATGCTCCCTGTTGAAAAAGGAATACTCTTGGCATCAGCCTTCTCCACATTACGTATGTTTCACCTCTGCTCAAGAACTTTATTGCCTGTTGGGACAAAGCCTAAAATCACCTATTTATCTATTCTTATTCTTCTCTGTTCCACTTTCCTTGAAAATAGGGTAAGCATTTTACTTCTGCATCTGTTCTCCCTTCTGTAGAGTACCTCCCTCCTTTCCCCATCTTACCAAATTATATCCAGCCATCTCAAACCAATCATCCTTCTAGGCCCACTTCTGGCTTCATGTCCTTCTTTATACCTTATTTAAATATCAGAAATATTCTTATTTCTGTTATGCTTATATAGCCCTTGCCACATAACAACATATGTGTTCCCAGGGTCAGTTTCTTGAAGGACAGAAACTGTCTTATCTTTCATTTGTACTTTACTGAATCTAAAGGAATACAGGGCTTGGAAGATATTTTTAAAAGAGTGCATTTAGTTATATAAACAGTTGGATCACTTCTGACCTTGAGATTCTCTTTAATAAAATAATTCCACTGGCAAAATACAGATGGTGCTAAATATCTTAGAAGGAAGCCATTTCTATTTCTTCTCCCATCATCGCTTTTCCTTTCATTGAATGAGGTGATTAACATTCCCACTTGCATCTCTTCAACAACATTCCTGTCTCTATCACCTGTCTCTCCACCCCACTCCCTATTTTTGTTTTATACTTTTTACATGATCTTCAAATGTTTTCCTGACTTTTCCCATCTTCATGGTCCATCTGAATGCACTTGTTTTTCTTCCTTTGATAATTCCAATTTGTTTTTTATTGTAGTGTTTGGGATTAAGCCCAAGGACATGTGCATGCTAAGAACATATTTTACCACTGAGCTCCACCCCCAGCTCTAACCATTCCAATTTGTCTTTCACTTGAGTGTGTTTTCTCACTTGCAATTCATCGTAGTGCCTTTTATGGCTTAATTCGACCAGGTCTTTTTTTCTCCCACTACTTTGCCTTTAAAACCCCATTCCTGCTGCGACTTCTCTGGTCACTCCTAGCATAAACTGGATTTGGACAGGAGCATCTGTCTGGGCTGTTACTCACCTGCATGGGTGCCTTTGTAGATATCACTCTCCTTGGACTCCTGTGGGGCCCCAACCTGAGGCTCTTCCTCTTGTTTAATCCAAGACAGAATATCTGATGTTGAAAGACCAGGCTCTATTTGTGAGGGAAAAGAGAATGAACTTCAGGGACTTGAATCAGAAGACAAAATTAATCACATTGGTTTTTAGAACACAGCATTTTGCCCAAATTTTATTTCTAACTAACTGTAACAAGATAGGCAGCTTATATGAAAATGCATAAAACTCTAGAGAATCATTTCAAAATGAAATCAAATTGATGTATTTTTATATGATATTCTCGGCTTGATTTTCTTGTTTTCAGTGAGCCTATTAAAAAACAAATTACAATCTTTATTTTGGAGACGATATTCTGAAATAATCTAGAAAAAAACAGTACTTTTAATTTCAGTAGCATTCTTTAATATTTATTTTTAGTTTTAGTTGGATTCAATATCTTTATTTTTATGTGGTGCTGAGGATCGAACCCAGGGCCTCACAAGTACTCTACCACTGAACCACAACCCTAGCCCAGTAGCATTCTTATTTATCTATCTATTTAGTTATTTATTTTACTTGTAGATGAACACAATACCTTTATTTTATTTATTTATTTTTATATGATGCTGAGGATCAAACCCAGTACCTCACACATAGTAGGCAAGCACTCTACCACTGAACTACAGCCCCAGCCCCGGTAACACTCTTATATTCAACATATTTTCACTTTTCTCTCTCAGTTTGTGAAACAGCAGAGCAGGCAATATTTTCTCCTTTTAAGTAGAAGGGCCTATAGATGAACTAAATTCCCAATAAAGAAGTATTTACTGTGAAGTGCCATATTATCAAAGATTTGCACACAAAAAGAAAATAAGCAAAGAATGAGGTTGACCAAAATGGCTTTTTAAACGTTAATTAAAAGAGAAATATACTTCCAGAATTACAAAATCAAATCGGTTTAAACACAGAATTTGACTCCTCAAAAATATACTTTCAAAAATTTATATATATATACTTTCAGATTTCCAATTCTGGACTTTTCCTCAGAGATCATATTATCTTTGCTTATTAAATGATACAGACCATTGGGTCCTGAGTCCTGGTCCTTCAGGTCTTGGGATTCTTTTAGAATGAAAACAGCATTGCCTCTGAAGGCCTCATTTGGTCAGTGCAGATGCTTGCTATTCCAACCTGGATCTGGGTGGCCTTTTTTGGCCTAAAAGGACAAGCTGGCAAGCTGGCAAGCCCCAGAGAGTAAACTCAAGCTCTCTACAGTTATTTCTCAAAAAAGCCTTGTAGGCAGGGTATGGTTTTATTTCTAGCAAATGAACAGCACTCATTCTTTTGCCCAGGGCTTTTAAGTCAGCTGGAGATGGCTGGAATCTAATATGTGCCGAGATCAAAAAGAAGCAGTGGGTATAGCCAGGGCCAAACACTGTCCATTAAGTGGAGAGCCGGGAGTGCAGGTTTGCACACAGGCGGCAGGCTGCCTTCCCACTTACTACGTGGGCTGCAGGCATGGCTGTATGTCTCACACAATGCAGCTTTATCTTTGTTCCCACCCAGACCTTATACAAACACATAGACGTAAAGAAAAAGGGGCAGTGGGTGTGAGGAAGAGGAGCTCCTAAGAAACACTTCAGCCATCAAAAACATGGCTTCATTAAGGCTTACCTGTTTCTCTTTCACAATTTTCTCTTTCGCAAATAATGAGTTAGTGCTCTAGAAACCTCCAAATGCCATTCAAGCGGATTTGACTTTATATTATTGTTGATCATTACAAATTAATAGGATGTTATATATTTGATTAGCATCAATCTACTACAGTCATTATTCTTTTTAAGACTTAAATTTTCTCTTCTTTGGCCAATGGAATAGGCCTGATGTGCTTCTCACATGACTGCAGATGCTTGATTTCCCTCATTTCTGGCATGACGAACTATAGCAAGCTCAGCTAGTAAGTACATTTCTTTTTCTTTTAAATATTTTTGTTCTTTTTTTAAAAAAATCTTTTATTTTTTAGTCATAGATGCACACAATATCTTTATTTTGTTTATTTTTATGTGGTGCTGAGGATTGAACCCAGTGCCTCATAAGCGCTCTGCCACTGAGCCACAACCCCAGCCCTGGGGTTTTTGTTCTTTTTTACTTACATACAACAGTAGAATCTATTTTGACATATTGTACATTGAGTATAACTTCCCATTTTTGTGGTTGTACATAATGTGGTGTTACACTGGTCATGTATTCATATATGAACGTAGGAAAGTTATGTCTGATTCATTCTACTGTCTTTCCTATTCCCATCCTCCCTCCCTTCCCTTCATTCCCCTTTGTCTAATCTAATGAACTTCTATCCCCGCTGCTCCCCATTGTGTATTAGCATCTGCACATCAAAGAGAATATTTGGCCTTTGATTTTGGGAATTGGCTTACTTAACTTAGCACAAGAATCTCCAGTTCCATCTATTTACCAGCAAATGCCACAATTTCATAGTTCTTTATGGCTAATAATATTCCATTGTGTATATATATCACATTTTCTTTATCCATTCATCTATTGATACCTAGCTTGGTTCCATTGTGAACTGAGCTGCTATAAACATTGATGTGTCTGTATCACTATAGTATGCCGATTTTAAGTCCTTTGGGTATAAGCCAAGGAGTGGAATAACTAGGTAAAATGGTGGTTCCATTCAGAGTTTTCTGAGAAATCTCCAGACTGCTTTCCAGAGTGGTTGCACCATTTTGCAGTTCCACCAGCAATTTATAAGTGTACCTTTTCCTCCATATCCTCACCAAGATTTATTGTTATTTATATTCTTGATAATTGCCATTCTGACTGGAGTGAGATGGAATCTCAGGGTATTAGAGAATTTGCATTCTCTAATTGCTAGTGATATTGAACATTTTTTCATATATTTTTTAACTATTCATACTTCTTCATCTGTGAAGTGCATGTTCAGTTCCTTTGCCCATTTATTGATTGGGTTTTTGGGGTTGATTTGTGTGTGTGTGTGTGTGTGTGTGTGTGTGTTTGTGTGTGTGTGTGTTGAGTTCTTTATATATCCTGGAGATTAATGCTCTGAGGTGCAGGTGGCAAAGATTTTCTCCTATTCTATAGGCATTCTCTTCACATTCTTGATTATTTCCTTTGCTGTGAAGAAACATTTTAGTTTGATACCATCCCATTTATTGATTCTTGATTTTACTTCTTGTGCTTTAGGACTCGGTTGTTGAAGAAGTCAGTTCTTAAGCTGACATGATGAAAATTTAGGCCTGTTTTTTTTTTTTTTCCTAGTGAGTTTTGTGCAGGGTGAAAGCAGGGGTCTAATTTCATTTTGTAACATACAGATTTATAGTTTCCCCAGCCTCATTTGTTGAAGAGGCTATCTTTTTTCCAACCTATGTTTATGGTACCTTTGTCTAGTATGAGATAACTATATTTATGTGGGTTTGTCTCTGTATCTTCTATTCTGTACCATTGGTTTTCATTTCTGTTTTGGTTCTAATACCATGCCATTTTTGTTACTATAGCTCTGTAATATAATTTAAGATCTGGTATTGTGAAGCCTCCTGCTTCACTTTTCTTGCTGAGGATAGCTTTGACTATTCTGGGCCTCTTATTTTTCCACTTGAATTTCATGATTGTTTTTTATATTTCTTTTTTTTTTTTTAAAGAGAGAGTGAGAGAGGAGAGAGAGAGAGAATTTTTAATATTTATTATTTTTAGTTCTCGGCGGACACAACATCTTTATTGGTATGTGGTGCTAAGGATCGAACCCGGGCCGCACGCATGCCAGGCGAGCGCGCTACCACTTGAGCCACATCCCCAGCCCTGTTTTTTATATTTCTATGAAGAATATTATCAGAATCTTAATAGGAGTTGCATCAAATCTATATAGCACTTTTGGTAGTATGGCCATTTTGACAATATTAATTGTGCCTATCTAAGAACATGGCAGATCTTATCACTTCTTCAATTTCTTTCGTTAGTGTGCTGTAGTTTTCATCGTAGAGGTCTTTCACCTCTTTTGTTAGATTTATTTCCAATTTTTTTGAGGCTGTTATGAATGGGATAATTTTCCTACTTTGTCTTTCAGCCAATTCATCACTGATGTATGGGAATGCAATTGATTTATGTGTGTTGTTTGAGTTCTTTTCTTATTGTATCCCTTTAATTTCTTTCTTCTAATTTATGTGGGTTTCCAGGACTAGGTTGAATAGAAATAGTGAAAGAGGGCAGCCTGGGCTAGGGATATAGCTTAGTTGGTAGAGTGCTTGCCTTGCATGCATAAGGCTCTGGGTTCAATCCCCAGCACCACTGAAAGAGTAAAAGAGTGCATTCTTGTTTTGTTCCAGTTTTTAGAGGGAATGCTTTCAAGTTTTCTCCATTTAAAATGATGTTGGCCTTGGGTTTAACATATATAGCTTATAAAATGTTGAGATACATTTCGACTATCCCTAGTTTTCCTAGTATTTTGAACATGAATGGATGATGAATTTTGTCAAATGCTTTTTCTGTATCTATTGAGATAATCATATGATTCTTGTCTTTAAGTCTATTGAGGTGATGAATTTTGTCTGTTGATTTCCTTATGTTAAACCAACCTTGCATCCCTGTAGTAAATAAATACATTTCTTGTCCCAGGCTCAAAAATCAATGATCACTCTGAGAAATGGGACTTCAGATAAGGCTGCTAATTACAAATCAAGTGTTTTAGTCAGGTTTTTAATGCTGTAACTAAAAGTTCTGACCAGAACAATTTTAGGGGAGGAAAAATTTATTTAGGGGCTCTCAGTTTCAGAGATCTCAATCCATAGACACAGACTCCATTCTTCACGGCTAACGGTGAGGCTGAACATCATGGTAGAAGAGTGTGGTAGAAGGAAACAGCTCACATGATTATTATGAAGCAGAGAGACCTCCACATGCCAAATACAAATATGTACCCCAAAGGTACACCCTACCCGCCTTCAGCCATCATACAATTAATCCCATCAGGTGATTGATTCACTAATTGGGTTAAGGCTTTCATGACCCAATCATTTCTTACCTGAACTTTCTTTTTTTTGGGGAGGTGGGGGGTTCCAGGGATTGAACTCAGGAACACTCAGCCATTGAGCCATATCCCAGCCCTATTTTGTATTTTATTTAGAGACAGGGTCTCACTGACTTGCTTAGTGCCTCGCTTTTTGCTGAGGCTGGTTTTGAACTCGTGATCTTCCTGCCTCAGTCTCCCAAGCTGCTGGGATTACAGGTGTGCACTACCACACCTGGCTTCCCTGAACCTTCTTGTATTGTCTTACACGTGAGCTTTGGGGGATATCTTACATCCAAACCATAATATCAGGTATCATTGTTTCTAGATCTTTTCAACGGACAAAGTTATAAAAGACATACTTCTTAGAGAAAGAAAAGTGTTATGAGTCCATATTAATATTTTTGATTCATATGTAAGATTACTGGGTTTAAATTAAATCCTTTTGTTTTATGCTAGTATTTTTCCTCTCTTACCCTGAAAAAGCTTAATATCTAATGACATTAACGTGGTCTTTGCTTCATCTAAATATATTCCAAAATGATATCAATATACTAATAAAATATGAATGCAAAGTTGTTGTTTTGTGGTTCTTTTAGTCTTTGGGATGTGTCTTTCTATGGACATACAGTTAAAACATTAAATTTTAAAGTCACTTGAAATAAATCTGTGTGTTCATGTCACCTAACATACCATTAGGTTTGGATATCTTATTATGTATTTGATTTTCAAAATTTTAAAAAATATTTACAGCATTCTAAAATCAAAGCTATAAAATAAGGTATATTTAGAGAAGTCTAGGTTCTATCTCTATGGTTCCATCTCTATACAGAGAAAGTCATTCTGGTTTGTTTTTGTTTTAATGTTCCATCGTTTCTTTGTGAATATATAAGCAAAAATGTATACATTCATACCTTCCCTCTCTGACCCAGTATGGCATGCCACATAAAATACACAAACTACACCTTGGATTTTTCACTTCATAATATATTTTGGAGATCTCTCTATAGTGGTAAGACCTTTCTCACTTCTTTTTATAGTCGTACTACGTAGCTGCACCATTGTTTATTCAAGAATCCCTGATTGATAAGCATTTGGATTCTTTCCAGTCTTTTCCCTACAATATTAGTTAGAAGCCAACCATAAAAGCTATGAACAGCTAAACAACAAGCCCGTTCTCTAGAAATTTAAGTGGCTGGCACTGCTAGAATCTCCTTGCTAAATGTCTTCCCTGGACTTGGGACATACCAAGAAGCTAAATTTCTTTTCTTTCTTTCTTTCTAATATTTATTTTTTATTTTAAGGGAACACAATATCTTTATTTTATTCTTATGTGATGCTGAGGATTGAACTCACTGCCTCACATATACTAGGCAAGCACTCTACTACTGAGCTATAACCCTAGCCCCTAAATTTCTTTTTTTTTTTTCCCCTCCCTTTTTTGAGATGGGGTCTATGTTGTCCAGGCTGGTCTCAAACTCCTGAACTCAAGTGATCTTCCCACCTCAGCTTCCCAAGTAGCTGGGACTAGAGGCCCACATTACCACGTGCAGCTCCCTTCTTTCTGAATGACGCCAAACGTCTAAAAGTTCCTCTGGCCATTTAACTAGCTGGATCAAAACATGTATTTTATCAGATTACTGTTTCTCAGCACTCTTATCACAGAACACACAGAACACTGCAGTGTCAACCACAATCTAGGAAGAGCAGTGCGAGTGTATAAGGAGGCCCTGAGAAAGTAAAAGAGAATTGGAGAGCCTGGAGCTAGGATGGTCTGGTGCAGACACCTGCTCTGAGACAGCACGACAGACACTGGTCAGGTCAGGACAGTGGCACTACAAGCATATTCCTCACAGGCCCAATGCTGAATACACAAAAGGAAAGCCATGTCATTGGACCATGCAAGTAGCAGGCCATGGGGAAAGCAAGAGAATAGAGAAAAACTGGATATCAATCAAGTGAGAAAAACTAGATAAATGCTGAGATTTTATGTTTGAGAGTGGTTAAAAATAAAAAGGCTAATCACAGTAAATACAAATTTAATGTCTATATTGATCGAATGCTATTTTAAGTGTGAATCTGATTGAGTTAATTTGTTTTTGCGTGTTTTAAACTTATATATACCATGATTTCTGAAAGGGGGCTAGAAACTCGAGGTTCTGGGATTGTGCAAAGGTCTAGAAAAGTAGCTAAGATAAAACGTGTTGAGATCTGGCTTCTAAGAAAGTTATAAAAATACTTGAGATGGGTAACAACTATTGGTTAAAAGTACAGACACTTAAAAAAATGATGAATTACAGCAACACATACAGAGTGTTCACAAATAAATTAAGCTAATGTAGTCTTGAAGCAAAAATACAGGATTATTATAAATTAGGATATGACTTAATCATTGATTTTCTTTAAGAAAAATGACTTTAGGGGCTGGGGTTGTGGATCAGTGGTAGAGTGCTTGCCTTGAATGTGTGAGGCACTGGGTTTGATTCTCAGCACCACATATAAATTAAAAATAAAGGTTCATCAACAACTAAAATGAATAAAATAAAAATTAAAAAATAAAATGATTTTACTGAATTAAAGTGACCAGAGATAAAGATAGAATAACAGCAATGAACTTTGATGGTCAAAAACATCTCCCTGGGACTGTAAGTTTTAGAACTGAGTTAATTTTGGGTCATTCTAGAATCTTGGCCTGAGTCCATGGCTTCTAATTTCTTTACCCCTTTTTGGTACTGGGGTTTGAACCCAGGGCACTTTACCACTGAGCCACATTCCCAGTCCTTTTTATTTTTTATATTGAGACAGGGTTTCACTAAGTTGCTTAAGGCCTCACTAAGTTGCTGATGTTGGCTTTGAACTTGACATCCTCCTGCCTCCATCCTCCATCCTCCTGTCACAAAAGTAACCTAACGTTAGTACCCTCCACTTAATATTTGTGTGGAACAGTCTTTTAATGACTATGACTAGATAGTGGTTAAATACTATTCTTCAGTGAAAGGAGAAGATTCAAAATAGGCCTCAGACTTAGAAGGGCCTGCTTGCAGGGCCCATCCCTGACTAGCAAACCATTCTCTACACTGATATAAAACTTTCCCTAAATGCTAAAAGTAACTCATTCTGCTTAAACTATTTGTCAAGCAGTGTGGCTTATACTGGCTGCCTACTTTTCTTCTGGGAGTCTGGAATTTGGGTATGGGCAGAGGGTGTCTGTGTGACAGCCTCTAACTGAAGACCCTGGTACTGAGTATCTGGTGAGATGCTCTGGTTGACAACACTCTGTATGTGTTGCTGTAACTCATCGTGGGGTAAAGTAAGTGTGTTCTTCAAAGTCCCTGGGAGAGGCTTAGGGAGGCTTGTCTCTCCTTTCCTCCTTACCTTTTCCCTTTGTTGTTTTGTGTCCTTTTGCCATAACAAATATTAGCTATGAGTACTACTAAATGTCCAGTTCTGTGAGGTGGTATTTTTTTTTTTTAATGTAACATATTGATTGGCCCAAGTCACATGAGTCCTATTCTCGAGTTTGGATAAATATCTAGTTTGAGAATCATGAATGGAAGCTAAAACTATAAAGAATAAAATCAGAGTGTTAAATAAATCAAACACATTGTTCATTTTCAATAAAAAATGTATTAAGGTATGCAGGTTGACTACCCAGAAACGGAGTCTTAAAAACCAAGGCTTTTAAAATAAATTCACAAGATAACAGCTAAATGAAACTTTGATACATCATTATCAAACCAAATTACTTGTATCTTTTTCACCCATCCCCCCAAAATAAAATGATACACTTAATCTAGCTGAGAACCATCAGGCACTTAACAATATGGACTAAAGAGATACATCGGATAATGAATCTTTCTATAATCAAATCACCCATCTGGTGATGTTATTTTAGACATATTCTTTTTTTTTTTTTTTTGAATTTTTAATATTTATTTTTTAGTTCTCTGCGGACACAACATCTTCATTGGTATGTGGTGCTGAGGACTGAACCCGGGCCGCACGCATGCCAGGCGAGCGCACTACCACTTGAGCCACATCCCCAGCCGCTAGACATATTCTTTATCATGATACAGATTAATCAGATTAAACCTATTTCAATACCTATATGCAATCATCCACACATTCTTAAAAAATATGTATAGCAGATGTATGTATTGCTCAAAACCCAGAGAAGATACACTTAAGATTTGAACATTTTGTAAAATTTACCTCAAAAGGAAAAAAAAATATTGAATCTTAGGTTAATAATATTGATGCTGAACTATTTAGAAGGAAATGTACTAATGTCTGTAATGATTTTACATATGTCAAAAACAGAATAGGTTGATGGATGAATGGCCAGATAGAGGGGTATAGAGATAGATATATGTGAATTAAGAAGGCTGAGAAACTGTTAGTGGTAGAATCTTGTGCTGGATAGCTAGGTGTTTACTATAAAATTGCTTCAATTTTTCTGTTTGAAAATTTTCAAAATAAAAAGATATTTTAAAAAATGCCAGTGTAGGGGATAGTGATCAAAGTTCATCTGATAAAGGTATCTGGAGGATAAACTTTCTGTGAGTAACTTCTACTCAACAAAGAAAAAAGATGTATGAGGATTTTCTGACAGCCAAGGTAGGACATGAGATGGTACAACAGGACCACAGCTTTCTCTGCTAGCTCTCCAGGCAGGTGAAATCAGGGGTCCACTGGTTAAGGGTACTCTGGAGGGACTGTATGGACTGCTAGGCCTCTGTACCTCTCAGGCACACCTTCCCAGAGCCTCTGCACTCCTCACCAGCATGATTCCTTGTCATGTAAGCATGTTTATTTTAGTAAATAACTAGGATTTAGTACTTTCATCAAGGACCCTTAGATGTGTGGTAATGATCAGTGATGGCAATATACAAGGTGATCTCCAAGCTCTTCTATATTTACCAAGATAGAAATACCCATTCAAAGTCTAGTTGATTTACCAAAGAATGGCTCAGGAAGCCCTGAAATCCTGCTTACTTAGTTCTGACCAGGAAAGGGAGATGAAGAGTGGATAATCTCTACTCCCACTTACCTTCACTGGGGTCTGCAGGAATTTCACTTGCCTCTGGTGCTGTCTGGTTCTCTGTATTATGTTCTCCTTCTGGTTGAATCTGAGATAAGACATCAGGTTGGTTCATGGCATAATCTACGAGAGGAAAAAGGGAGAGCGGGTATGACAGAGCTAAATGAAGTATGACAACCAACAGCCATTAAGGCTGAGTACAATCTTTAAGGTCCCCAAGAATTTCTTTTAGATTGAATATGGCTTCTCTACATCAATTCACTTCCAACAATAGATGATAACTACTCAAGAAAGCAGGTATGAGCAGATGTACTATGAGGAAAAGCAAACGTGCCAGGTGAGCTCTGCCCACTGCTCCTTTCATGGGGATGAGAATGACAGCAGGCCTCAAGGGAGAGTGGTTAAGCTCCTTTAAATGTGAAGGACACCCAGGGAAACCCCCAGTTCACAAGACTCACAGCCCCGAATGTCATTCTTCCCTAGGATTTGGCAAAAGGAGGGATTATGATTTCCTACTTAGCAAGTATGAATTGGCCTTTTTAGCTTGGAACTAAGCTAAAACTCTGCAGTAAAGACACAGTGAAAATGAGGACAGTAAAGGAAAAGAGTCTGTCTCCGCCCTCTCTGGGGCTGCTGTCACCTCATTCAGAAGGTGCCAACTCAGCCTCACCCATGGAGATAAGAGATTCGTAGTTTCCCTTCATGATATTCTTGTAAAGCTCCTTTTGCCATTCTTCCAACTTTTCCCACTCTGGAGTCGAGAAGTAGATGGAGACATCATCAAATGCCACAGGCACCTAAAATTACAATCACATGGGTTAGTCCCACCCATTGCAATCCAGTCATTCAGTAACTGCCCCCATTAGTTCCTTTTATTATTATTATTTTTTTACATTCTCAAAGGATTGGCAATGAGTATTCTAAATAGCTCAGAAGTTGTTAATGCTCCACTTGTTATTAGTATAATCCTAAAATCTCAACACATAACATGCAGCTGGCACATTTCTTGAGGCATATTTAAGTATTTTGCAAGCAGTAAGAAAGCATCTCAATGCCACACAGTAAACTTCAAGTTTTTCTGGACTAGGGTTGTGGGCTCATTGGTACAGCGCTCTGCGAAGCACTGGGTTCAATCCTCAGAACCACATAGAAAATAAATAAATAAAATAAAGGTATTGTGTCCAACTACAATTAAAAATTTTTTTAAAAAATATTTTTTACTTGTTGTTGTACCTTTATTGTTTATTTATTTATATGTGGTACTGAGGATCGAACTCAATGCCTCACACATGCTAAGCGAGCCACTCTGCTGCCGAACCACAACCCCAGTCCCCCAAAAAATATTTAAACAAAACAAAAATTCAAGTTTTCCTGCATCTCTCATTTCATCTATTTGATCTGCCTTTCTTCAGGAACAGTTTTCCTCAGAAGAGTTGATTCCTCTAGCACTTCCTCTTCTAGTTCTAATCTCCTGCCAAGCAGAGGTCCATCCTGATACTGTTCCTCAAATCTATGAGGAGGAAAGGAAGTTCCATGCCCAGTGACTGAAAGCTAACAGGACTGACACCAAGAGCATGTAAGAGAACAAAATTCGACTACAAAATTCATTATGGCTTCTCTGTATAGCCTTTAGTCTTTTTTGAAGTCTTTCATATTCTTTTTGTTTTTATTCTTCTTACATTTACTTTCCTTCAAATTTATTGTGCTTTTCTGTAATGATGTAAAAAGGATTCCTTTTCCCATACATTGAGGTGTTCAAAATTCTAGGTCCTAATCTTGGACTAATCTATATCTCTCTGCTATCTTAAGTGTTTCTTCAGTTTATATAAATTAAATATGTGCTTATTTAGTATATAATAATATATATTATCTTACACAGATATACATGAGCTTTTTATCTCATCATTTGACAATACAATTTTATATTTTACATAGCTATTTCTTATTCAAGTCATTTGCAAAGGCAAGATGGTTTCTGAAGAAATCTTGTTTGGTGGGTAAAGGATCCATAGAAGGATTCTCATTATTGTCTGAATTCTGATCCACTGAACCTGGAAATGGGAAAACTTTGATGTTATCACCACCCCCAAGGACCACAGAAATCCTAATTGTGTTCATTTTTAAAGTGCTTGCAGAAGTTACACCAAAGGCCCCTGTCACATCTTGCCCAGGGTGATATTGGAAGGTACTGGTGACTGGAAGACGTTATTCACATTCTCTTTCCTCCTTTGGACAGAATCTGCTGATGTCCTCTAATTCTATCAAGAGGTCTTTCTTCCCTCTTGGAACCTCCACTGAGGCACAAGGTCCAGACTGCCTTGCAGTCTTACCTTCCATGTTCTTTGAATGACAGAATTTGTTTCAAATTCTTCTCTACAGGCCTCTAAAACTTCTGCCTTCTCCTTCAGTTTCTTCAGCTTGTTTGTGAAGGGATTCCCTGTCTTTAGGCAACTGTAGTCCATTGCAGTTTCCTTCCCGCTCAACTGGATGCCTATGCTTTTCTTCAACCACCATGTCTATTCTTTCTTTTCCTCTTCCACTATCTTTTCAACTCATAGCTGCACTTTTTTGGCTCAGCTTCTTAAACTTTGGCATTCCTATTTCAGCTTTTCACTGTTCCCTTTAGCATTTGGTTTGAATTCGTCAAATCCACTCTGACTGTGCAAGGGAGATCTTGCATCTGCAAACTACTCCTTTGTTGTTTCAGGTCAGAATTTTCACTTTTCCTTTCTTTGCATTTTTGGTGTTCACAGTTTGTCGACATTTCAGCCTAATACCATGAAGACCCTTCTGGCCGACTCTCTTGCCATGTATGGAGCAGATTTCTCCTCACACAGATCCTTTTCAGAGGGCTTCCAGACGTCCAGTTCCACTTTTCATTTTCTCTAGATCTGCTAACTTGTTCTTGAACTCCAGCTTTTCATTTTGTTGTATATTAATTTTTTATAACCTTATTCCCCAGCAGCTCCCCGGCAGCTTATATTTTTGTAACCATTTTTTCTTTCAGAGACATGGTCTTGCTATTTTCCCCAGGCTGGCCTCCACTTCTGGTGCTCAAGCAATCCTGATGTCATCTGCCTCCGCTCCAAAAAAAGGTAGACTATAGACACATGCCACTGTGCTGTGCTCCTTTCCTATCAAGAGCACCTGGTGCTCAGTGGCTGATATTCAAGTGACTCAGTTATGTTCACCCAGGTCTTATTCCTTTCTCAGCTCACTCCTAGAGCTTGCTGCTTCACTTTTATTTGTTTTAAATTCTTGGGGCACTTTACCACTAAGCTACAACTCCAGCCCTTTTCTTTTTCTTTCTTTTCTTTTTTTAAAATATCTTTTTTTTTTAAAAGAGAGAGTGAGAGAGGAGAGAGAGAGAGAGAGAGAGAGAGAGAGAGAGAGAGAGAGAGAGAGAGAGAATTTTTAATATTTATTTTTTTTTAGTTCTCGGCGGACACAACATCTTTGTTGGTATGTGGTGCTGAGGATCGAACCCGGGCCGCACGCATGCAAGGCGAGCGCGCTACCGCTTGAGCCACATCCCCAGCCCTTTTAAAATATCTTTATTTTTATTTATTTATTTTATGTGGTGCCAAGGATCGAACCCAGGGCCTCACACATGCGAGGCAAGCACTCTACCACTGAGCTACAGCCCCAGCCCATAGCCATTTTCATTTTGAGACATAATCTCATTAAGTGGCTAAGGACCTCACTGTTTCTCAGACTGGCCTCAAACTTGGGATCTTCCTGCCTCAGCCTCCCAAACTGCTGGAATTACAGGTATGCACCACCATGTGTGACCTACCTTTAGTTTTATCTATTATGTTTAGTCACCTATTTTGAATATTTAAGTTATTTATTGGTCAGTGTATTTCTTTCTTGTTCAATTTTATATTATTTACTGATTAAGAGATACTTTGTTGCTTGACTATAGTGGCTGCCAGCACCCCCAGTTGGGCTTCTAGTCCAGTAGGCAAGTATTCAACCACTGAGTTCCACCCCCACCCATTTGCAGCTTTCTTTCCAAGAATTTGGCCCAATAGTTTAGCTAACTTTTTCAGTCTCCAGGGATCTGACTGTAGCCTGAATATCAGCCAACCACCACACCTGTATTCTTTGGCCATTTTCTACCTAAGCACCAGAATTCTCTTTTTCGGTCCTTAATTCTGCTGTCTGCCTCTTAATATTTTCATTTCTGATATAAGTAGCATTTTTCTTGGACAAGGCACTCCATTCCTGTGCTGCCTCTTAAGGGATCCACACCAAGTTTATAGTTTATGTAGTTCTTCATCTTTCTTCAGGCTTGCAATCTCTTATATGTCTGTTCTTCTAAATCACCTTTAAATTCTGTTTTTAGTTTTCAGGTTCTGATTTGAGAAACATGTCATAGAAAAGCTTATCATATTAAATTGATACTTTTCCCCTTCTACACCCAGATTCCCAAAATACACTCTGTTATTGGAGTCTCTAATTCTTTGTTGTATTTGGGGTCTTAACAGTTCCATTTTTGGTGGCACTGACATGTGCAGCTTGATTTCTCCTAAGTCTTTAGTTTTCTCTACAAATTCTTCTCCTAGCTCTTGAAGCACAGTTGAAATTTTTCTTAGCCAGTTTGCTTTTTACTTAACAGGCACTTAAATTAACTTTGTAACTTTATGTATTCATTCTGCAACCTTGTATGTCTCACTTTCTGAGTCTAATGGCTAGTTTCCTGATGTTCCCATCCTTACCTTTCATTGGTTAACATGTTTTGGAATGCAGGTTGAGAAGTTGTCAACACACTGAACCAGGAGGGGAAAATGTTGAGGAAAGTGTCCACATTGCAAAGTGAGCTGATACCCACATAAAACTAAATTCTAGCTTTCTTAATGTCCAGTTTTCTTTCCTCAGCAGACCAAAATACCAGACTTATACACACTCCTTGCAATGAGTGCACATAAAACTTAAGAGCTAGGCCAGGGAACTCAGTGGTAGAGTGCTTGCCTACCATTCACGAGGCCCTTAGTTCAATTGCCAGTATTACACACAAACAATGGTGACCTGTGTTCTGGTTGGGCTTGCTATAGCAGACACCTCCACAGCTCTGATAATGAACATCCACTCATCTTATGGAGGCACTGGGGTTAAGAGATATGATCCTACACGTAAGGTGTTGGCACAGCCCACAATACCTGGCAGGACCCTCAGCAAAGAGGAGGTGGGACAAGGAAGAGGTGACAGGGCAATGAGGAGGCAGAGAAGAGAAGAGTCAGACTTTAAACCTTGCAGAGATATCTGAGATATTCTATGAGAGCCTTGAAGGCAGAGAAGGTAGCATGCACTAAGAAAGGTCCTTCTCCTGCTCAGTGGACTGCCTTTTCAGGGATGTGGGGCCAAGACATCACCTCAAATTGCTGCCCACTTCCCTCTATCTTTTTAAGTGTCTTCTTAGTTGCAAAATACTATGTGAAATAGTAAAAATTCCATGGAGAAACTTAAGACAGAGCCCAGCCTCTAGGAGGTCAGATGTTCCCAAGGAGTGAGGTGATAAATTCTAGGGCTGTTTTTGGGAGGGTGAGACAATTACTTGTAAACAGTCACTCAGAGTTAGGAACAACTGCAAAGCAGTATTTAACTCACACAAGAAAAAATATGAGTATTTTCTATGTACAATGTTTTCCCCTAAACTCCAAGATTATCAATATATGGTTTCTTCCCAAAATGAACATGTAAATTAGTGATATGAATAAGAAATTTCAGAAACAGTTATAGTAGGGCTGGGATGACCCTATGAGATGAGACTTTGGCTAGTCCTAAGGAGAATGGG